CTTTTGTGCAGCCTATTCCTTGAGAAAGCTGTATATTTGTTCTTACTGCTGGCAAAGGAGCACAGGAAAGAAAACACAGCCTAACTTCAGGCAGGTGTGATGACTCCCTGCTTGATAAAGGGATGTATCTGCTCATCTTCAAGAAGGAAGTGTCCAAGAGCAGACAAAGGGAGTAGAGGCAGTTAGCATGCATTGTGACTTGCAAGTCATCCTTAAAGATAATTTGGTATAGTGACCTCTGGCAGAAGCCTTGGAATGTCTGACCAGTATGGCAAATCACCAGAGTCCTGCTAAAGAAAGTAATATTAACTTCTTGGTATCACCTGTGACCAGTATAATGGTAAACATATTCTTTATGGATTATGAAGTTCTGTCTGGGCCTCTGTTTATGGGCTGCTCAGTTTATGTTTTTGTTAATTTTTTTTTTTTCAACAGCTATATCCTGGGTGCATATTATTTCTGGATGCTAAGTTTTTCTCTCTTCTCTCAAATAGAAAACCCCAAGATGCCTGACAACAGCACTCCAAGCTACAATCAGGGGCAGGCACAAAGTTGTACCTTCCTCTGCACAAAGATGATAGCAGGATTTACTATTTTTAATCTCTGTGCACATTCTTTCTCCCATTTCCTTTTGGTTGGTCTAATAATTACTTTATGTTCTGTTCTGAACAGAGGTTATGATTCCTGATTTATGTAAGCTATAGCTTCCAAGATTAATGTTAGGCAATGCCTTTCCTACAGTGTAATCTTTTAAAATACATTTAAAAAAAGAAATTTCCAAATCTTAAAGAAGTACCTGAAACAGATAAAGTCAATGTAGATGGATATCCAGAACAAGGAAAATTTTCAGCTAGATTGTCTACATATCCCAATTTAAACTATTTTGAATTACATTTTCTAAAAAATTGCCCTCGTGTGTGTGAATTGTGTGTGATGTTTTGAGTGGGTACTCCAGAGAGCGGGGACAAAGTGTGCCTTCAGCCGACAAGGAGATCTTGCATATATTGATCACCTACTGTATAGCTTTGAAGAAATAGATCTCTTGGGAAGCTATGAGTTATAATAAGTTACATTTTGTCATTAAAATATTAGAAGTAGTGGATAAGGTGTCCAGGCAAGATGACAGCCTAAGAGGAGAGACTTTAATCAGAGTTAACAATAACAGCAGCAAAAATACACACACACCAACACAAACTCCATTTCATGATTACCCTGGAGAGTTGACAAGTAACTGCTAGAGAAACCATTTGGTACTTTTTGAGCTGACCTCCCACCTGCATCAGTCCACTGATGAGTCAGGACTTTTTAACCTAAAGTAACCTGTCTGAATAAAGTGGTTCTGTGCCTTTAATGGGAGCTCTGGTGGTGTAGTGGTTAAGATATTTGGCTGCTAACCAAAAGGTTTGAACCCATCAGCCACTCCATGGAGGAAAGATGAGGCAGTCTGCTTCTGTAAAGATACACAGCCTTCAAACCCCATGGGGGTCACTATGAGTTGGAATCTACTCAATGTCAGAGAGTTTGGTTTGGAGTTTCGGTGCTTGTCATGCTCCTCAACCATGTAGACTCACATCCTCAAATCCTATCTTGCCTTCATAACTGAGTAATGTTTACTTGTGAACCAAATCATTAGTGAATTGTAGATTGTGACAGGCTGAGGGAGGAAAGTATGGATGGGAAAGAAGGTGGGGAAGCAGGAGCTCAAGTCATCCTTTCAGCTTAGGAAAGCCAGACAAGTCTTGGATACAGAATTCCAGAAGTATTGAAGGAGGTCATTCATTATCTTAGAGGCCCTCAGCCATCCAAAGGGCACTTTGTCTAGAAAAAATTAAAGGATCAAATTCTCGACATTCAGGACTGACTACCTTGTGGGGATTGGGCTTGGAAAACTACATCACAGTAGGGACAGAGCCAAGGTTGTGGTAATAGGCATGTGCCAACATGGTCCCAGTCAGCCCCAGGCTGATGCCATCAACATTATAGAGTCATCATGGAGACCAGGAAGCTGAAATATTTGCCGCACTTTTGCAGGGAGAACTCTAGTATTCTTTTAACCTAATTCACAGGTAGAGAGTGGAACAGTCATCGAAAGCTATGGATATTGAATGAGAGTTTCACCAAACCAGCCTGAGCTCTAATAGTATATTCAACTAAATTCAGCAGTGATTATTAAGCATTATCCATATGTAAAGAGCTCTGGTGGCCTAGTGCCTAAGGCATTTGATTGCTAACCAGAAGGCTGGTGGTTCAAATCCACCAGTCACTCCTCAGAAGGAAGGTTGGGCAATCTACTTCCATAGTAATACCACCTTGGAAACTCAAGGAGGGGTTGTTATGAATTGGATCTGACTCAATGGCAGTGAGTTTGGTTTGGTTTGGTTTATTCATGTGTAAAATGGTGTGATATATAATAAATAGCTCATGTCCTCAAAGAGTTTACAGTCTAGTGGAAAAAATAGGATGTACAAAAACAACAAAGCAAAATTGTAAGTACAATGAGAGACATATTAAAAAAAGAACTATGCTGGATTCAAAAGGAGGAGAGAACATATCTTATGGTGTATATTTAAAAAGGCTTCATGGAAGATGTTGACTTGAGATAATTTTGAGAGGTAGGGGTCTAGAAGGTGGTGTAGTGCCTAAGGCATTTGACTGCTAACCAGAAGGCTGGTCATTCAAATCCACCAGCCACTCCCCAGAAGGAAGACTGGGCAATCTACTTCCGTAGAGACACTGCCTCAAAACCCAAGGACCAATCACTGTGAGTCAGAATTGACTTGATGGCAGTGAGTTTGGTTTTTTTGGTTTAGCGGTCTAGGATAGGAGGAAGACTCATTAAGAATCATTGGTGGAAGACTCATTAACAATCTGTGATATGCAGAAGATACAGTCTTACTTGCTGAATGTAAAGAGAACTTGAAGTATTTACTGAAGAAGATCAAAGACTATAGTCTTCAGTATGGATTACACGCCAACATAAAGAAAACAAAATCCTCACAACTGGACCAATTAGCAACATCATAATACACAGAGAAAAGATTGAAGTTGTTCAGAATTTGGTTTTACTTGGATCCACAATCAACATTCTTGGAAGCAGCAGTCAATAAATAAAATGATGTATTACATTGGGCAAATGTGCTGCAAAAGACCTCTTTGAAGTGCTAGAAAACAAAGATGTCACCTTGAGGACTAAGGCTCACCTGACCCAAGCTATGTTATTTTCAATTTCCTCATATGCATGTGAATACTGGACAATGAATAAGAAAGACCAAAGAAGGTTTGATGCCTTTGAATTATGGTGTTGATGAAGAATATTGAATATGCCATGGACTTCCAAAAGAACAAACAAATCTGTCTTAGAAGAAGTACAGCCAGATTTATTGAGAAGAGAGGATGGCAAGACTTAGTCTCATATACTTTGTCTCCAAGGATAAGTCTCTGGAGAAGGGGACCATGGTTGGTAAAGTAGAGGGTGAGAGAAAAAGAAGAAGACTCACAATGAGATAAATTGGCACAGTGGCTGCAACAACGGTCTCAAACATAGTAAAGATTATGAGCATGGCATAGGACCAGGCAATGTGTTTCATTCTGTTGTACATAAGGTTTCTATGAGTCAGAACCAACTCTAGAGCACCTAACACCAACACCAAAGGGGTTTAGAGAGGGAGGAATGTGTCCCAGTCATAGAAGAGAATATCAACAAAAGCCTGGGACCAAAAAGGAACAGTTATGTTCAAAGATTATAATATACATGTTTGACAGGTGAGTAAACATTTGTAATAAACTTGGAAGGTAGGATTGGAAAATTGGCTGGAGCAAACTGGAGGTATTGATTATCAAAAGGAATGGTCTGTCATTGAAGGCATTTAAGCAAATTTACTCCTAGAAACTTGTATACCACACTTTCCCATCATATGTCCTTTTAAACTAGAATTAAAAGCAATGAATTATAAATTATAAAGCACTTTGAATAATTCAGGCCTAGTCATGTTTTCTTTCCCTGTGATCTACAATAGGTTTCCTTTGCTAATTTAGATTTTTTTTAAGTGCAGAAGAACTCTGTTATATCATGAACAAATATCCTAAGCCAGCCATAAAAGTTTAAAACAGTATTGCTTTCTTATAATAGACACATGAGTCCCCAGCCCTTATAGGAGGGAATCTACTGTGAGTCATTTATATCACCTACAGCCTTCTTTTATTTCCTGTATCATACCTAACCTGATAAATTGTGATAGAAGGTGCAAACTAGCCAATACAGACACTTCCCCTGAAATCAAAGCAATACACTTTAGGCTAAATATTGGGACTTCCTCTAGTATATCTAAGAATGAGTTGAGGTTCAGCGCTTTGCTGCTGAGCTCTGGGCTTATTAACTTAAAACATCTCAATGACACTTTAGATATTATGAGAGTCACTGGGCCCAAAGGTTGTGCCCAGAGTCTGAAGAATGCTCTCTGTGTCCTACCTCTCTAAGAGCAGTCACTATGTGTGCTCAGAGAAGGCAAGAGAGTGTAGGACCAGTCATACTGGCCTGGCAAGGGTCCCACCTAATTCCTTATGACGTGTCTGGTGCAGGTGACATGTTCTCTAAGGTGTGGGCAGGCAATTAATTTCGTGAACAGTAGGAGGCGTGGGTTCAGCTTTTTTTTTTTTTTGTTACAGTGGAGCATTATCTGAATGATACTCATTCTCCCTGGAGTGTAGACTCCATGCAACAAGCAGCAACTGGATGCTATTTTAAATAAGCAAAAGCCACCAAAAGGTTCTGATCTGGTTTTGGAGGAAGATTTGACTGAGAAGAGCTTCTTGGTCAAAGATTAAGTGAAGGGAAAAAAATCCAGCAGGAAAAGAACTGTGGGTTTCTTACCCCAACCCCCACAAAAGCTATGCCGTGAGAAGACTTCCGACTCACTGACAGACAGCAAGTTGGACAGGGTACCTGTTCTTTGTGGAGTGGAGGAAAAGAAAGGAATTATCTTGTTGGGGTTGTTTGAAGGATGGCTTCCCAGTTTCATCAGCTTCGGATCTTGGTCTGGAAAAATTGGCTAGGTGTCAAAAGACAGCCGGTGAGTAAAAAAAAGGGGGGATGGAGGTGCTGTTGAAGCAATAGTCCTAGGCACATCACAAAAATGTGATGGAATGAGCAGGAAAAAGAGAAGAGATTTTAGGCATTTTCTAGAGCAAGAAAGAAGTTATTTAGAATTCATCCCTCAGTCTGTCTTATAGTTAATGGGGCAAGTCTAAACGTGCCCCAAAAGCAGCCTCTTGATTTCCATATATTAAAAGAGTAAACCAGGATAGGCCTTGGGCAAAGAAAAAGATGTGCCTTGTCACCGGTTGGATTGGGACCAGTGTTGAATTCTTCGCTCAGGCCAAATTGCTTTCAGAAATCTTTTAAATTAATTTAGTTAAAAATGAAATGATAGAAAGCAAGGTTATCAAATCAAAGGTACAATGAATGGGGAGAAATGTAGTTGAAAACCAGAAGGAATAGAAAGATGTAGAGTAGAAAGATGTAGAAGGGAAGTAGTTGGCGATGAAAGGGGTATGAAGCCTGTTGGTGTAGATAAACTTCTAAGAAATTTTAATACATAAAAATAACTTATTAGAAATATCAAACAAGGGTCAGTATATGGGCCATACTTTCAAAGTGTTGCTAAACACATTAATGCTACAGTCTGTCTAGTCTTTGCTCATTGTAACATCTTTTCTGTGCTCTTACACTGATGTTGGCTTTTTAAATACAAAGCCAGATACTAGATCTTCCCTAGGTAGGATCCCAGGAGAATGGAAAGGTATTGGGTTCTGTTTAAGAGTTGTCACAGATTCAGAAGAATGTTTGGAAACCAGGGAAATCCGAATAGACACTCATCATATGTTTTTGAGTGGTAATTGCCAGCCTCAAATGAATAATATAAATATTATGCAAATAATATGCATCATAGAAAATGAGGTTTTATCTATTCATCTTATCTTCCTCTAGGCTTTCCTGCAGTGCCTGACACCTTACTTACTTGTGTTGATGTATACATTGACAAGAAAGTCAATATTCACTTAGCTTTGATAATTTTGGAGGGAGGTTTCAAAACCATAAGGCATTATGTGATTGCATAAGTATAGAATTTGGAAAATTATAAAATCATTAATGTTATTATTTATTTGTTTTTTAACTGGAACAAACACAAAAGAAAAACTCCCCGTAATTATCATGTGGGAAGTTCGGTGTGGAATTAAGCACAAAGAATCTGGGTAGGTGGATGGGGTCAGAGGGCAAGCCAGGCTCCTGGCTCTGCTACTCATTGGCTACTTGACTTCAGGAAAAAAAAAAAAAAAAACAACAACCCAAAAAGCCTAACTTGTTGCCATTGAGTTGATATTAACTGATAGTAAACCTATAGGAAGAATAGAACTGCCCAACAGAGATCCCAAGGCTGTAAATGTTTACAGGAGTAGACTGCCACATCTTTCTCCCACACCTGACTTGGGAATCATACCACAATGTCTCTGAGCACTGGTTTCCCGTTTCTAAAATGGACATGAGGTCTACCATATCTAGCTCATGGGGTGGAAAGAGCCAAATTCAGTATTGAATTTCAAAGTGCTTTATAATAATAAATTGATTAATAATAATTTCAGTCAGTGCCCAGGTTATAAATGTCTGATTTATGCACAGTCTCTAGTTATGAACTCCCCCACAAAGCCTATTATATTACATGCAATGGTTCATAATAACAGTGGGTGTTACTTTGCTACACACATCAAAACATTATTATTACTGTATTATGATAAAGATGTTTTAGTATGCCTGGAAATTTGTTTTTTTTTTTTAATGTTTTCTATGCATAGAAAGGTATATGCTATGCTATGTACTAAGATAAACATTTGACAAACTGACTAGATAGAACATTATCTAACCGTTCTGACTTACATACAAATTCTACTTAAAGGCAGATTTAGGAACAGAAATCATTTATAATCTGGGGACTGCCTATATTGAGGGACTTGAGGAATGTGCAAATAGATTATTGAGTGATTTGGAGCAATATGTATATCATATTTATTAAAATATCTGGTGTAAGGAAAACCAGGAGAAGGGGGTATTGGAGAGAGAAAGAGATTTACATTAAGTTCTTCAGTTCTTTATTGAATAGAAATGCAATAGATAAAAACAAAGGCAGAGAGGAACTTATGTTTTGTATATTGTTGCTGATGAACTCAAGGCTAATTTTACCTTATGACATTATGTCACCTAAAAAGAAAAAAAAAAAACCTTCAGGTGTATAAATTTTTTCACTATTTTATCTTTAGACACTTTAATGACCAGTTTCTCCTTCATTTAGAAAGTAGCTGGTGTATCAATTTTCTACTTCATGATATTTCTACAGTTTAGTTAGTGTCTGCTGAACGTGGTGGAGAAGATTCAAGTTGGGCATGCTAAAAATATTTTCACTATGATATCTGGTTTCACTGTCATTTAATCACAAGTCCTGAAAAGCCCTTGGTTGATCACACTTAGTCTTAGAAAAGAATACATGAGCTGTTTGTTCATTTTGAGGCATCAAATAATTCAGATCTTAACTGCAACTTGTTGGAGGAATGAGACTCAGGACAGAAATGAAGTCAGAAAAGTCTAGAATTTAGGACAATGTAGAAGACCCACCTCAATCCTGTGTGACCAAGCAAAGGGACATTGAAGAGTGAGTGAGTCTTACCTGTAGAAGATGACGGTACCTACAGGAGAAGGAAGGGCAATCTTAAGTGGAGGATGTGGGCAAGGAGTGATTATTCCCTTCTTCATAGTTTTACCCACAGTTAGCTCAATGTGTTGACATTAGAAAGAAAATTTGAGGACACAGATAGAAAGGATAGATGTATACAGCAGAGTTTTCCTGAGCACTGGTTTCCCATTTCTAAAATGGACATGAGGTCTACCATATCTAGCTCATGGGGTGGAAAGAGCCAAATTCAGTATTGAATTTCATTTCACTGGTCCCTTTCCAAATGGTTGGAAATGGTAGTTAGGCTTTTTTTTTTTTTTTCAGAGGGATGAATGAGAAATCAAGAGGTTGGAAAGTTAGAATTAAAGATCCAAAAGCTGACGAAATTTTAAAAATGTAAAAAGACAAAATACAGACAAATTAGAAGACAAAGAATGTGAAAAGAAGGTGCACATAAACTTGAGAAGAGGTCATAGTTTTTATGTAGTGACTGGACTTTGTCATCCATTAATGCTATCATTTAAAATGCAAGTATGTTTATCTATCTTTTTATTAATGCTCCAAAAATATATTTTAAAAATTTCCTTTTATACCCAGGAAACCAGAAATTAAGTTGTGTGACATGGAGATGTATCATGTTGATTGAATACTAAGGAAAAAAAAAAAAAAGAAAAATGCCACCAGCACCCCCATGACAACTTCCACCACTTTGCTTTAAGATGTCCCATCACAAAGAAAGGCAATGAGGAGGGTCTCCAGAGGAAGAAGTTAGGAATCTCTTAATGGATAAACAAATAGAGATACAGCCAAAATATTAAGTCAGCTTGGGGATTACTAAGGAAGTATATTTACTATCAAAAGATATAGTGGCGTTGATGGCTACCACTGCCAACCATTTGGAAAGGGACCAGTGCAGGGGACCCTGGAAGTGAACCTGTGGATGATAGGGAGGCCTTAGATACTGCTGTTTTTAAAATATGAGTGGTAATATCAATTCTCAATTAAATTGCAAAAATAAATACTAAAGGAAAGCTAGGAAAAGACATTAAACACCAACAGAAATGTTAGGTACTAGTGAAAATCAATTAGATGCAGTTGCCACCCTGCTGAGTTTGTAATTCAACTCTAAAAATAAATGAAAAATAGAGATCCATTCCACTGGAGATGGTTAGCAACAGAGAGCTTACATAATGAGTTACTTTTAATGGCAGAAAATAGTCCTGGGACAGCAGAGCCTGCAGGCTGAAAGACTACTTGTGCAAGATCAGAGTTTATCTTCCATTAAGAAAACACCAAACTAAACTCACTGCTTTCAAGTTGGATCCGACTCATTGCGACCCCTCCTTCGGTTTCCGAGGCAGTATCACTGCAGAAGTAGATTGCCCAACCTTCCTTCCGAGTTCTATTAAGAAGAGGATCCTAAATAGGCATATCAAGGAGTGACTTCAAATCTCTATAGATGTGGAAGGGCTGGGTTTAAGCTCAAGAACATTTAACTTCAGTTGTTTATTTTCCATTGTAATTCTATATCCAATGAGTGGCTTACCTTAGTTTACATAGAACTAGCTTTTCTATCACAGACATTGCCACAACTTGCTAACTTCTGATACACTGGATCAACCCATCTCCACCTGGCTCTTCTAACTTCCTCGCACGTATCTAGACAAAGAGCAAGTCTTAGTTTCAAAATGTGCAGCAGTTTGGTTTATGCCTTAAAGAGAATATTTAGATTAAAACTAGTTAGGATTAAATCCTAATCCCAAATTTAGTTCTAAAGCAGATTAACATAAATTAAAAACCTAAAACCAAACCCATTGCCATGGAGTTGATTTCAACTTATAGTGACCCTATAGGTCAGAATAGAATTGCCCAATAGAGTTTCCAAGGCTGTTATCCTAATGGGAGCTGACTACCACATCTTCCATGGAGCGGCTGATGGGTTTGAACAACTGAGCTTTCAGTCAGCAGCTGAGCGCTTAACCACTGTGCCAGCAGGACTCCTTTAATAAATAAAGTCCTGCACAACTCACTCAACTATGCACTTATATATTTCAGGTTCTTTGACCTCTTCTGTATTTATACCATTTACTCTCTTATTCCCTTTAATTGCTCACAAAATTTAGATGTACTTGTTGAATATGGTTTCTGGCACATAGCAGACACACAGATTTCATTAACTTAATCAACCAATAAAAAAATAAATGAGATAAAGATGATTCTGAAGAAAAATGTGTTGTTTCCATATGCATCATAGAAAATTTTCCAATATCCAAAATTTATTACAATCTCTAAGTGCAGATTTCAGAAAACTTTCTTGACCCCAATTTTTGAGGGGTCACTTGTGTAGT